TCTCAGAACTCCTGGTTTCATAGCAATTTATACATATCTGCCCAGCTATCCTGTGACAGTGGTGTTACTTGGACTAGATAGGCCATGTGCCACCGTATATGATTTGGTTTTTCTAATTATTTTTTTCCGCCTTACTAGTATTATTTGAAGTTGGCCAATTAATGTTCTTTCTATTTTTTATCTGTTACGAGATCGGGTTCTTGTCTGCTAGTAGAGCCATAATTGTATTGTTTCTAACTCCTGACCTACTGTGATGTATATTTTTTTGAGTGATTGATGCCCCACCTCAGCCTATATTCTCAAACATAAGTGCCTATGAGTATTGTTATATGCGATAAATGGAGTCCACATGTTCACGCCAGAGCCGTTGGACTTTTTCTTGGTGTGGTTTTATAAAGAGCTGTCAGTAAGGATGTTTGAGTTGAGGAGTCATCTGATTCAAGGCCACTCAATGTTCTTTGTAACTTAAGCTTCAACCTAGAAATTCTTTGTCAGTCACTTCCCAATATAGAGTCAGTGCTTGAATCAGTCATCCACACACTGGGCCTAGGTGAGAAAAACCTTTGATACAGGATGGCTGGGTTACTAACCAGGGGGTGTAAGAGATCTGGTTTTGAATGTATAATTCACAACATAGAAACACAAATTTTTAAAACTGTTTTTGCTCTGGTCAGTTACAGGTGGATCCTAATCTGTTTCAGGTTTGATACTGGAACTAGGGGGAGTCAAATCTGGTATGTTCCTGCAGCATTAGAAGGGGGTGCAAGGGCTCTATATAACACTAAGCTATTTTGATATGTAAGTTCTTATCATGCTTCAAAACTAACAGTCTTAAATTGTGCATTCCAGTTATCTACACAATACTGAGTAGTTTTAAAACGAGCTCTTGATTAATAGGACCTGTTTTTTTTTGTTTGTTTTTTTTTGAGACAGTCTCACTTTGTTGCCTAGGCTAGAGTGAGTGCCGTGGCGTCAGCCTAGCTCACAGCAACCTCACACTCCTGGGCTCAAGCAATCCTACTGCCTCAGCCTTCCAAGTAGCTGGGACTGCAGGCATGCGCCACCATGCCCAGCTATTTTTTTTCTATATATATTAGTTAGCCAATTAATTTCTTTCTATTTATAGTAGAGATGGGGTCTCGCTCTTGCTCAGGCTGGTTTTGAACTCCTGACCTCAAGTGATCCGCCCGCCTCAGCCTCTCAGAATGCTAGGATTACAGGCGTGAGCCACCGTGCCCGGCCAGGACCTGTATTTTTGAATGTCTGTTATGTTCTAGGCTTGTCAAGAGATGAAGGCCCTGTTTTGCACTGTATAACTATAATATTTGTCATCTTATTTCCCCCAAGTAATCCAAGTTTTATTCTATATAAAACCACTAAGTGGCACTGGAAAATGTTTAATAGATTGGAGGGAAAAGCTAAAAAGTTATACTGATTTGTTTTAAATTACATTTAGGATTGGCTTATCCCTTTGGAGAAAAGTGAAATTTTTTTCCCCCCTGAATGATAAACAGCTTGTGATTTTTAAAAAGTAGGTAATACTTAAAAATCATGGCATTATGATAATTCTGTACTTGAATTTATACTGTTAGCAAGCATATTTGGAAGGTTTTTTTTTTACTTTTTATCATTGTCTTTTAACTAGTCAATTATTATTATTTTGTATATTTAAGGGTTTCATTAAGTTAGCATTGTATTTGCACAACATGTAACCAAATTAGCCACACTTTTTTCCTCCATATTTAGTTATAAGGGAGAGGTAGAGGTCATTTAAATTCAGCAGGCCAGCAAGTAGTTGGCTTATATTAATAATTCCCTTTCTTAAATGATGTGATTCGTATGCTCTCAGCTTTTTAATGATTTTATTTTAAAGCACCTGCTCAGTCATTTGAGATGAAATACTTGGAGTAGCTTGTCCCTTTTGAGTTCCTCAAACTTAATGTTTTTATTAGTTCACAGTGTTTGGAACAGTATGTGCCAATTGCTAAAACTGCTTCAGAATTTGCAATTTTGTATGTTTCTTTGCCAAAGAAGTCTTAGTGGTTGTTAACTATAATACAAGTCAGCTTCTGTAGCATAAGATTTGATTTTCCCACTTGTTTCATATCATTTATAATTTGGGCTAAACTGGACTCATTTCAAGCATTTTGCCTTTAAGTATGTCTTGAGAAACATAATAGTATAATTTGACTTGAGCCATAAAACACATTTTAATATTAGCTTTAATATATTTATTAAGCTTGTTTTTGTGAAAAAACTTACTAAAACCTAGATAAGTTTAGATTAAGCCAGTTTAGGTGTATTATATTTAAGTGATGGATTGTATTGTAAGAATAGAGATAAGTTGGGAAAATATATCAATTATGCTGTTCTGTTGAGGGAAAGGTCAATGTATTTAAAAACATAAACTTTTGGTTATTGCATTCACTTCAGACTGTACAAACATCATTCTTTGTTTGGCTTTGAGAACTTTTCTGGTGTTAAGTTTATAGAAAATGTATAAAAGAAACTGGAGTTTTGGTTATATTTTTATATTTGTAAAGTAAAAGTTTGATTAAAATGGTCACTGTCCTTTTTTAAATTTTATTTTATTGTCATTTCAATAAAAAATATTTGAAACAGAATGACTCTTTGATGGTTTTGTTAATAGCCCTGTGTGTGTGGCTGCTCACCTTAGTGTGCCAGGAGAAATCCTGCATGGTTCTTTTTCAGTGTCAGTGGCCAAGGGCCACTGGGTAAGAGACAGCTTGGCATAATAGCAAGGGACTGATGGCTTGGGCCCTTGATGTTGCTCTTCTTTTGTGCTCCCCTCCTATGTTAGCTGTGTTCTTAGCACATTCAGTTTCCTGCAGTGTGAAGGGGCACTGGATTGGAACATGACTGGCACTTAGGAGTTGCTACACAGTTGTGTTAACTGTAGGTTGTTCATATCACTGGGGACTCAGTTTCCTCAACTGCAAAGAATGTTGATTCTTCTAGTGTTTTTTTTTTCCTCAAACTTGCCTGGAAGTTGTAATGTTCTGTGACATACACCATGCTTGCTGCTTATGTAATACTGTGTAATTCCATTTCAGCATCTTAAATAGAAACAGTTCACCCAAAATACAGGAATATATGTGTGTTTAAAAAAAATGCACCCTTTGGGCCTTTTATGTCTGAACAAAAGTTTGAATAAAACCTTCTATAGTTGTTGCAAGGGTTTTCTGAACATTTACTACTTGTATATTTTGTAGCAGGCACTAAAGATACGAATGAAAGAAAAGTTAAAAATTGAAATATATTAATATATTCATTAATTTAGTTTTCCTAGATTTAGCAGTGGAACACAGGGTCCAGCTAATGAAACAGCAGAATTCCATGGGAAGACATTTAAGGCTACTGAATTAGATATGAAATTTAGCTTCTATGATTTTGAAACTCTGAAAGCAACAACAAAACCAACCAGCCTTTCTCAGGTTATGGTGAAAAATCAAATGAGGTCATGAATATGAAAGGACTTAAGATATTTTAAAAAATGAAAATAGCATTGTATCTAGGTGATACAATCTTACTCCATACAAACTGGTCTGAAATGACACATTTCTTTATTTCCTTTAAATCAAATCAGAGCCACTATCCCACAAAGATGGTAGGAAATTCAGACCATCAGTCCTTGTTGGAAGTGAAGGGCCTGTAGAAAGTCTCACATCTAGAAGGTATAGGTGGTACTCTGAAAGAAAGGTGTGGATGGAGAGAGCTCTCGTTTTTATCATGGATTCCACTGGTACTTTCTTGTCCAAGGAGGACCAACCTCTTAAAAGTTTGATGGTGTTGCCTCCCTGCCACACTTAGGGCTTCAGACTCAGCTGACACAAGTTGTCCCTGTGTCTTTAATCCAGCCTTCTTGGGCACACTAAGCTTACATCTCTTTTTGTCTTGCCTCCTCCCCTGGCCCTCTCTTGGAGTAGGATACAATGACTGAGCGCACTAGAAGTATCAGCTAAGACTTCAGAAAGCTTGTTATTGCCAAAAAGGCCTTGAGTCAAGCATGTGCAAAGCACCTGTTTGCAGTGGAAAATGAAAAAAATGTTGATAGAAGAATTACTAATTATTCTAGTAAAAGA